AAAATGGCGGCTGTCTCTGTCAACTCCGTCATTTCGCAAGTCGGGGTTTATAGAGGCAGCTGAGCGTTTGCTTAAAGAAAACTAACATAAGGATAAATGTAATGTAAAATACTACTTGGATTGTCGCGTAGTAGTTACGTTGCAATTGTGTGTCAAACTCAAACTTAATCGCCGTTTCACTGCTTTAGTGCTACTTGGCTAGGCACGATATGTAATGTGTACAATGTGTTAAATAATTACTTTCTAAACCTCGAAATAAGATATAGGCGATACGAACGTTCTATTTTTTTATTAGCTCTACTGGTCAGAGACCAGAAGAGCTTATGCGATAGTAATGCGTCCGGCGTCCGTCCGTCTGTCCGTCTGTCTGTCTGTCCGTCTGTCTGTAAACAATTTTTCAAAATGCTACTCCTCCTACAGTTTTGATCTGATTTCAATATAACTTGGCACACAAGTAGATTACACCAAGATACATAATTCTGTGTATCTGTTTTTGATTTCGTTGAACGGTGTTGCCGTGGTTACTAAAAATAGAAATTTCTGTGAAATTCTTTCAAAATGCTACTCCTCCTACAGTTTTGGTCTGATTTCAGTATAACTTGGCACAAAAGGAGAATACACTAAGATACATAATTCTATGTATCGGTTTTTGATTTCGATGAACGGTGTTGCCGTGGTTACTAAAAATAGAAATTTCTGTGAAATTCTTTCAAAATGCTACTCCTCCTACAGTTTTGGTCTGATTTCAGTATAACTTGGCACACAACAGGCGCGTAGCTGCCTATACGCAAGTACGCAAGTGCGTACACATCATTTTCAACAAAAAAAAAGAAAAAAAAAGAAAGAAAGAAAAAAGAATAAAAAAGAAAGAGAGAGATTTATTCGGAGAAAAAGAGGCACTATCTGTCTTTCAAATTATTTTACGTCTTATTGTTTCTATTCAAATTTTGTTCAGAATATCCTTATAATCCAGTCTTTTATAAATTGAATTCCAAAATTCTTGAGTAAGAAAATATTGTTGAATCAAAATTTTCAACTGTTAATCCGCGTAATCCTGATTATCCAGACAAATACATGTATTTGATGAAGGAAAGCGATCTAAGTGACATTGATTTAAAGAAAAAATTACAAGGTTTTTGGACGACTATACAAGAATATCCGTTAAAGTAATGAATAAATATCGATAAACAAAAAAAATACAGGCAAAATTCAAATTATTGAACAAAGTTAATATAAATATAGATCATTTATGAATATCTTCTTTTACTGATGTTACCATTTTATAGAATTTAAGTACCCTCACATTGTTTACGCTAACGGAATATATAAAGATCCACACCCTCGTTTATATTATGAAATACTTTAACTCCAATGATAACTTATTAAATTACTTCTCTGTTTAATTTTGTCACACTTGGAAACTTTTTTTCTAATACCAATATATTCGTAAATTAATTTGATTAAATTATCCTTCTCTTCCTGAAGTATCCATGGAAGTATAACTTAACTAATACCCCATTCATACGACGAAAATTAGCTTATGTGAGCAAATTTACATATGAGTAAATATACACACGTGAGTAAAAGTTAATTTGCTATGCGTTCAGACGAGATTTATGTACTGTAAGTAAATCCTTACATTTTCGTGTAAAATAAGGAGATCCACAGATTCAGAATTGTGGATTTTTTTATATAAAAAATGTTATTTTCTTATTTCTTACTATAAGTTTTGAATGTTCCTTAAATAAAAAAAAAGGGGGGGGGAAATCCGATCCATTTAATTTTTGGTACCGAAAACGCGACTTTAATAACTTTTTAGGAAAAATTTACACACGAAAAAAAAGGAAAATTATTTAAAATCATTGTTTAAAATATGTGAATGCTTGGCCTCGGTCCTTAAACTATAGAAGAGACGTTGGGTGGTAGGAAAATTTCTAAAGGTGGCTGTTGCCATTTACTGAATGGCGTCTTCAGCAGAATAAAGTACGACTGGAAATCTTTTTGGTGTTTGGAAATCTACAGTACATCAAGTTAGTGAGGTCATAATGAAGTATCTGCTTGAATGTTTTATGTATATTCCTGGAGAATGAAATGAGCAATCGATTTAAAAAATTCAAACAAAACAAATACTGTAGATTGGCAAATAATCACGATGGTTTTAATTCGCTATGTTCGCGATTCATCATTTTTCCGCGTAAATAAACCCATCGTGAAAGCTGTCATTAGTTACTTAAAACGTTAAAATGATAAAGAAATTTTGTTACAGCGTGAAATTAAAACCATCGCGATTTGAACTTTTTGAGAAATCGTGAAATTTTAACACCGTGGAATTAAAACGATTTACAGTATATGAATAGGAAATAAACACGAATGCCCTAGAAATTCAGGGTGGGATCAGGTGCCAAGTATCAAGAATGCTTAAAAATGCTTATTTTCAACAGGGTTGTTGAAATTCCTGTAGCATCAATTTATATGTCAGTATCTTGCCTTGGTTTAAAAACAAAGAAAGGTAGAAGAAATTCAATCTGTAATGGGGCCCGGTATATTGATGTAATTCCTATTCCTACACTATCACAGCTCCGGAGCATTCCTATGAAGACTACTTGAATTGTAAGGGGGGTACTTATTGATCCTGCAGACCATGTTTGCGCGACCACGGCCATATTTATACATAAACATAGGTTTGCCAGAAAGGGCACAAGATGCACACGCTTTTGCAAATTCAAATTTATATCAGAGGACACTGTAGATATAGTGAGGATCCTTGTTATCAAAAGCCATTTGTTGAAAGAACTATGCTAGAACAACCCGGCGTATTCTTTAAAGACTTTAAAGCAGTATTCTATCAAAACTCAAATTATTTTCAGCTGTCTTTGAAGTACAGCAAAGATGACCTTAAAAATCCAGGGTTTTTTTTAAGTTTTGCTTTCTAGCCGCTATGTTAACAGACTGATATTATACACACAACAATGAATAAACAACCGATACGACACTTAAAATTGTGATTTATGTAATAAACAAAACAAAATACATACATACGTAAATTTGCTGCGTGTTCATACGACAAAATTTACACACAAAAACTAATAATTTGCGACAACATGTATGCAAAAGTTAATTTGCACCTAGTCCTGACTAGGTGTAAATTTACTCAACTGTGCAAAATTTACATATGAGCAAATCAGTTCATACGACAAAAATTGCACACGTGAGTAAATGTACATATGAGTTAAATAGACTGAGGTATGCAAATCATGTCGTATGAATGGGGTATAAGTGTTAGCTTGAGAAACGAGATGTAGCGTGATTTCTTTTAAAGGAAAATGACTGAAACATTTCGTAAAATCCAGGAGCTTCCGGGGTCTTCGCCCCCTGGCCCCCCCACCAGGGCTTCGCCCTGGACCCACTGGGGGCCTCAGGGCGGCCCCCAGACACCCGCGACCATTTTCTGCGTACACTTCATTTCAATGCTGGCTACGCGCCTGCACAAGTAGAATACAATAAGATACATAATTCTGTGTTTCGGTTTTTGATTTCGATGAACGATGTTGCCATGGTTACTAAAAATAGAAATTTCTGTGAAATTCTTTCAAAATGCTACTCCTCCTACAGTTTTGGTCTGATTTCAGTATAACTTGGCACACAAGTAGAATACACTAAGATACATAATTCTATATATCGGTTTTTGATTTCGATGAACGGTGTTGCCGTGGTTACTAAAAATAGAAATTTCTGTGAAATTCTTTCAAAATGCTACTCCTCTTACAGTTTTGGTCTGATTTCAGTATAACTTGGCACACAAGTAGACTACACTAAGATACATAAATCTGTGTATCGGTTTTTGATTTCGATGAACGGTGTTGCCGTGGTTACTAAAAATAGAAATATCTGTAAAATTGTTTCAAAATGCTACGCCTCCTACAGTTTTGGTCTGATTTCAATATAACTTGGCACACAAGTAGAATACACTAAGAACATAAAGAGACTTTATCAACACAATCATTATTCTATTTATTGCTGTTGTAAAGTTTCAAATCCCAGCTGCTTAAGTACTTTTCTCTTCCTTTGCTATAAGTTCAAACCAGTAGAGCTTCAGTCTCGACAGAGACTTCTGGTTTCATTGAAGCAATCATACTTATTTAAAAGAACACTATAACGAAAAGACGAGAATATTTATTTGCGGCGTCTGGCTTAAAATTGTCGAATAGTGACCCACTTTTCATAATTCTAAGACTGATGTACTGTTGTAGAAGTAAAAACAAGTAAATTAAGATCAGAGCTCCAAATAGCGTAATGGATAGGTTTATATAAAACTATTAAACAAGGAATCAGTTTCAAATTTTTAATTTGGCTTTTGGGAACTACTCAGCATGATATATCATAACATATATACAGAACAAGAACACAAAAAACAGGGCTAGACTATTACAATGAAAGTATGCTATACATAAGACAAACATTTAAATAAAATTGTACATGAAATATAATCAAGCTTGCCTTTTAATTATAAAACAAAGGCCGATGGCCTTAAAGAAGAGGGCCGATGGCCCTTGTTGACCGATGGTCAGAGCGAGGCCGATGGCCTTAAAAACTGAAAAGTAGGCCGATGGCCTGAGTTAAATAGTGGCCGATGGCCAAGGTGACCGATGGTCACAAGTACATATTATTTTGGGGCAGATTAATACATGTCAAAGTTATAAGATTGACCATGTGTTAATTCCCCCCAAAGTTATAAGATTGACCATGTGTTAATTCCCCCGCCTCATGAGTATTTCCCTTGATCAGATACCGGAGGTGGTGGGGAGGTGGTGGTTAAGTTCAAAAACAGCAGAGATCAATGTAACATAAGAATCAAGCTTGTCTATCAATGAAATGATTTGATTGGCTCCTGAAATCACGTGATAAAAATAGTCTGACAAATGGCGCCAAACTCTGTACTTTTATATAAACAATATTTAATTACATTAAAAACATTTTATATAAAACTATTAAACAAGGAATCAGTTTCAAATTTTTAATTTGGCTTTTGGGAACTACTCAGCATGATATATCATAACATATATACAGAACAAGAACACAGAAAACATGGCTAGACTATTACAATGAAAGTATGCTATACATAAGACAAACATTTAAATAAAATTGTACATGAAATATAATCAAGCTTGCCTTTTAATTATAAAACAAAGGCCGATGGCCTTAAAGAAGAGGGCCGATGGCCCTTGTTGACCGATGGTCAGAGCGAGGCCGATGGCCTTAAAAACTGAAAAGTAGGCCGATGGCCTGAGTTAAATAGTGGCCGATGGCCAAGGTGACCGATGGTCACAAGTACATATTATTTTGGGGCAGATTAATACATGTCAAAGTTATAAGATTGACCATGTGTTAATTCCCCCAAACGAAGCAATAAAGAAAATTGTTTTCCAACAATTGAAATTGCTGAGAGCCCCAAAAGAATTATATTATGACACCACCCCGGTAACTGATTTTGTATAAATGACATATGAAACATTGAACTTGCTATACCATTGTTTGTTAAAATACAAATTGAATGAAATTTTCAAAACACACATGTAAAACAATACATACATCACTTTCATCAAGAAATACATCTACAAGATATAAATGAGTCAGGAACATTTGAATTTATGTTACACACATGGCATTTTGTGCCCTAGATAATGTTGTGTCATCTGTCCTCACATATCTAGTGTAGCAGTCAGAACTCCATCTGCCGAGAGTTTTTATCATGTGATCTGGAACCTGACCCAATGCTGCAGACGTGGCCGCTCCAATTCTAAAGGAGTGTCCGTTGAAATTTCCATCACACAGTCCCATTGCGTCCAGAAGTTCTTTAAGTTTTCCAAGAAATGCGGTTCTTGAAAGAGGTTTTCCCAGGTGATCAATGAAAAGAGCAGATAATTCGTCACCATATTTTAATTTTTTACGCATTTCTAAGTATTCACACATTGCCCGAACCGGACACACACACTTATTAGATTTGAACACACGAATTTTAATTCCTTTCCGAAATGGATCCGTTTTAGAACTCCTAAGTGTAAGGGTGAATCCTTTCAAATCTTCATCCATTTTAATGTCTGCTATTCTCAGAATATTCTCCTGTTTTTGATTCACAACGGTGAATTCACCACATCTTAGAAAACCGAAGAACGCTAATGAAAATGCCGCTGTAAGCATAACATCCAAGAATTTTCCAAATCTTCCTATATGTAACATTTTAACAAGACTAGCTAATATTTCATATGTTATAGGACGTCGTTGAGGTTTAGCACAGCTTTGTTTTTGGATTCCCCGCATAACCGCATGTAGTTTAGGACAAATATCTTTTTCTGACTGAATCAAGGGATTGGTAATTCCAAAGCGAATATAATAGAATCTCACTGCCGCAAGGTAAACTTTGATTGTCTTATAATGTAACTTCAGAGCTTTGAAACAGTGTGTGACAAAGTAAATCAGAGTTTGTTCTGATATGGCTGGAGGTTGATCTGTTTCGTTAAATGTAGATGTCAGAAGTCCCGATGAAATAAGAAATTGACAGAATACTGCGTACCCTGCTCTGTAGGTAGTTTTGGTATTTTCACTAATGGAGGATTGGAGCAATTCATCTGCTTCTTCAGCTAGTATAACACAAGTTCTTCCATACTGGGAATAATTTCTGGCTCCTCGTATGCCAGAGGTGCTGCTTTCCGGAACTTGGACATCTGAAATCGAGATAGAGAATCTGCTATTATATTTGATTTTCCAGGTAAATGTTCACAATGAACTACGAAATTATCACATGCTGATTTCCAAGTCAATTTACGCAGTAATTTCATTATGGCTGGAGATTTAGATCTCCGATTTTTATAATTTGAACAGTGGCTTTATTATCACACAGAAACTGAACTCTTTTTCCTGACCATTCGTGTCCCCAAATAACTACCGCTACGACTATTGGGTAAAGTTCTAATAGTGCTATTGAAATTGGATCATCTCCCAAATTCTTCAACTCATCTGGCCATCTTCCTTGAAACCATTTTCCAGAGAAGTAAGCTCCGAAGCCATGAGTAGCTGAAGCGTCTGTAAATAATTGCAGTTGGGTTGTTGTTGATAGCTGTTCATCGATGAAGAAAGATTGACCATTCCACCGTCTGAGAAAAGTTTCCCACATGTTGAGATCTTTCTTACAATCACTGTTCAAACTTACATGATGATGAAGCTCTCTCACTGAATAAGCCAAAGTTAACAGATAGGAAATAAATGATCTTCCTGCTGGGATAATTCTTGCTGCAAAATTGAAATGTCCTAATAAGCTGAGTAGTTCTCTTTTTGTGCATGATTTTTTAGATTTTATTTTGTTTATGAGGAGAAAAATGCGTTCAATTTTTTCCAATGGAATCCTGGCTTCCCTGCGTTCTGAATCAAGTATTATTCCAAGATATTCCAGCACTGTACATGGTCCCACTGTTTTCTTCGCTGAGATTGGGATTCCCAATTTTTTGAACACGAGTGTCAGGATGGCCATAGTCTTTATTCCCTCATCTCCTGGAGAGTCAATGGTAAGAAAGTCATCAAGTAAGTGTAAAACATTTTTCACTCCATAATTGTTTGTCAGTATCCAGCATACCGCTTGATAAAGCAAATCAAATATTTTTGGACTGCTTCTGCATCCAAACACTAGTCGTCTATAGAAGTAATATTTTCCTCTCCATTTAATTCCGTAAAAAGGCTGATGATCCTGCCGAATTAGGATCAGTTTGAAAGCATCTACTACATCTGTTTTGCACAGGATAGGCAAATTGCCCTCTCGTTTTATAATGTTGATGGCGTCATCTATAAGGACATATTTTAAAGAGAAATCTTCTTTATTAATGCGCTCGTTGATGCTCATTTCCTTCTATGTTCCATGTGGAGAAGATAGGTCTACAATTAGTCTGAACTTTTTTGAATTTTTCCCTTGAGATACACCTATGGGACTAATTCTATAGTTAGTATAGGGAGGTACATCATAACCATAGTCAAGCTCATGCTGAAGTTAAGTGTCTACAACTGTTGGTTGAATTTGTGCTGAAAGCAGATTTTTGCATTCATATGGATGTTGAGGTAAATCTGTCAAACCAGTGTAAAATCCTTTGGACAATCCTTCTAAAAGATCATTGACGAAATCTACATCTGGATGGTCTGCTAATTCTTTTCTAAATTATCTATATTTACAGGTGATAATTTACCTTCATCCCGTTCTTTGCTTTCTGCCGACTTATCTAGTCATGTGTTCCCTTGATTCTCATGTTTTTGTTTACCTTTTTGACATTTCGTAGCCAAATGATTGTCTTGTTTACATTCTGTGCACACATGAGCTAAATTGCATGAATTCATGTAACATCCATTGTTGCCATTGAAATTGTTGCAAATTTCTTTACCTTTGTGATAAGTTCTTGGTCTGCCCTTCTTGTCCATCACCGTCTCTGATCTATATCTGTTTGTGTTAGGAGCTGAGGTATGCTTGACCTTTGGGCAGAAGTGTGAGGGATGAGAGATACTATTACAATTTTCACACCGAGTAACTGCTTGGCCAGAGAAGATTGTTGTGTACAGTTTCATATCTCTAATAGACCAGTCTATTTTTATATTTCTTTGCTGTAGTAATGCACTTGCTCTTGCAGAAAATGCTTTGTGGTACTCATAGAAAGCATACGAACCCTTAGTCATAGATGACATTTCAACAATATCTCTTTCGTATGCATCCAGTTCAGCTCTACGCCAAGGATAGGCTTCGCACATAACATTTTTGAATTTAGTGAATGCCAGAATAAATTCACTTATGGTGAGATTTCTCAAGAGTCTGTTGTCGCTAGAGTTTTTTAAGATAACTATCTTGCCCTCGCTATCTTGAAACTTACTTTCTTCTATCTCATGAGGCAATAATAACTGTGCAAGATTGATGTTTTTACCTTGTATGATATTGTTTCGCAGACTGGTTGGAATTGTCTCCACAAAAGGAAGGCTGTCTGACGCTTGTCCTATTCTTTCGCTTGATGAATTTAAGCTGTGTCCATGAAAACCTACAACAGGCGATTCTGCTTCCGTAATCCCACTTGATTTTTCCTTTAGATTCTTAACTTCCTCTGAGATTTTTTTGATAGATCGCTGTAATGTCTCCAATGTATTTGCGAAGTGGGCCATGTGGTTAGTTTCATTTTGAGAGACCGACTTCCGCCCAGCCTCGTTTTCATTTTCCTGGGTCGAAGATGCCGGAAGTTCGCCATTATCTGCATTGTCTCCATTTTCGTCTGGGATAACTAAGTCATCACTTTGTGTCTCGCGGAGTACGTTGTCTCTGTAAATTTGCACTAGTTGACTTTTCTTTAAAGAACTCGGCAAAATAATACCTCTGTTCTTTAGTTTATTCAACAATTCATTAATCGATAAATTCTCCGGTTCATTTTTATCCCACCGTTCTCCATCTTCTGTCTCAACAATCGGACGGCGTTTTGATTGTCTTACTGTCACATTATCACTTTTCCTTTTCCGTGTTGACATTTTGAAGTTCAAAGTTCAGACTTCGTGACACATGACAATTCAGTGATCCGTAAAACGTAAACACTGCTTCGATACCACGTATCTATTGTATATAGTAATTTAACTAACACAGGTTTCCAGAATCGAAACAATTAATAAGTATCCATTATGTTTGATGGTTAGATATTCCGTAGGAATCAAAAGAATTAAGTTCAAAAACAGCAGAGATCAATGTAACATAAGAATCAAGCTTGTCTATCAATGAAATGATTTGATTGGCTCCTGAAATCACGTGATAAAAATAGTCTGACAAATGGCGCCAAACTCTGTACTTTTATATAAAAAATATTTAATTACATTAAAAACATTTGTTGGATTTTCACGCTGGCCAACCAGGTTCAATCGCCCGTGTGTCAAAATTTTTTTATCCACATTTCAGCTCAATTTTACATGGAATGTTTTCCGGAATCGGACGGAAGACCTCTCGTTGCTCGCAACGAGATCGTTTCTAGTTATTATTATCATTGTTTTTTTTTCTTACCGATTTTGTGTACACGATTTCTCGGAAACGGCTGGATAGATTTTCATGAAACTTTCAGGACTGATAGAACATCAAACAAACCTAATATATATAATTTTTTGTTTTGATGACGTCACTTCCGGTTTTGAGATTTTCGCGATTTAGTGATTTTCAGGGGGTCTCATTGTCCATCATTTTTCTCGAAAATGCTTTTAGACTGAAACTTGAGATTTTCAGCGATTATAGAGCAATATGTGCTGACACACACCTCTCTTTTTCTCCGGAAGTGCCGCACGTCGGCGCTCGCTATGGCTCGAAAAAAGTCCTATCGGGAATTTAGAAATTTTTCACACATTTTTGGCAATATCTTTTTACATGTAAATATTTTGTAAAGACATATAGAACAAAAGTTGTGAAGAATGTCACGATCTTTCGAATGACATCAACGATAAGGGACTGGCCCCTAAAATAAAGGGCCAACAGGGGCCGAAAGTTTTTCTTGTATATCTCAAAAAGTATTGTGAATTTGTAATACATCAAAGAAGCAAAGTTGTTCAAAATGACAAGTCTTATCAAATGGGGTCATCAAAATACGTCTGGCGACGTCACTTCCGGTCAAACCGGAAGTAGTCAAAAATATCATATTTTTGCCGTTCTTGACAGGTTTTTGGGTTACATTTGTCACTGGAAGCTTAAATCTTAATTTTCCGTCCGTCAACGTCACTTCCGGTCAAACCGGAAGTAGCCAAAAATGGCTTAATATTGCAAGAATTAATATAGATTTGGAGGATTAAACCGTTTTTGGACTACATTTCTCATTTTTTTTGAAAAATGAAAGTTGCAGATGTACTTCCGGTCAAACAGGACGGAAGACCTACTCGTTGCTTTGCAACGAGCTCGGCTCTAGTTATTATTATTATTATTATTTTTCTTCTTCCTGGGAAAATCTTTTCCGCGAGTGATCTTGTAAACTACACATCCGACTTAGGTGAAATGTTTTATGGTCAGTAGACATGTTATGTAGATTTACGGAACGAAGGTCATTTTGCGCGCACGTGCTTGCAAGAGCGTGCACGTGTGAAATGATGCAACACGTGAAATGACCAATATAATGAATATAGCCGTAACTTTTTTAAATTTTTGATGAAATGCTTTGAAACTCATAATATAAGGATATATTAGTAGCATAGAAAAGATGACATGGTCAAAATAGCAAGATCTCACGCGCATGCACGTGTGAATTGTTCTGATTGGCTGAAATTTAAGTCTTAATATCTTTCTTGTTTTTTGATAAAATCCTTTGAAATTTTGAATATAGTCATACATTAGGGAGATCTACCACCTGATATAAGAGAATTATCATGAAAGCATGTGCATGCACATTTGCTTGCAAGAGCGCGCATATGCAACACCAGAAATGTCCAATATAATTGATATAGACGTAACTATTTAAATTTTTGATGAAATGTTTTGAAACTTATAATATAAGGAAATATTAGAAGCATAGACTAGAGGAATGGTCAAAATAGCAAGATCTCATGCGCATGCACGTGCGCTTCGCTCTGATTGGTTGAAACTAAAGTCTCAATATCTTTCTTATTTTTCGACAAAATCCTTTGAACTTTTGAACATGGTTATACATTATAAAGATCTACAGCATGGTATATAAGAATTATCATGAAAAGCATGCGCATGCAAGTGTGCTGCAATCTGATTGGCTGAAAATTTAAATGTCTATAACTTTCTTAGTTTTCAACGAAACGGGATAAAATTTAGAATATGAATAGGTATAATAGATTCCTACATAATGGTACTATCAAAATTGAATGCACAAACATGCATTCATGCACGTGCGCGCGCAAAATACGCAAAATGGTCAATATTTTTAAAAAACATTAAAATGTATATTGTAAAGATTTTTTTTATTTATTCTCACAATGTATAGATATGTTAATTGTTTAGACAACATGCCATGATCATCTTGCATGTACATGCACATGCGTGCGCGTAAAATGCGTCAAATGACATATAGATGACATAATTGTAGCTTTTATAATTCTCTGATGAAATCCTTCGATACGGATCATATTTTTTAAAATGTCTTACAGGAATAAGGCACAAATAGGGATTTGGGGAGCGTTTGGGGAACATCTGTAACGGTCCCCGTTACAATTAGCACTAGTTCATTTTGGGCTCATGTGTAAGGTTTGAGACATAGAATCTAGAATATCTGTCAGCGATTTTTTTCAACCAACTGGGAAAGGGTCCGGTACCGGTTCAATTGGGAAAAATAACATAGAAGAAAAACAGAAGAATTTTCTCTCATTTATGCAAATGCAACATATTTTGTGTGTATTCCAACTTAATTACCTATTACTCCTTGTTTTAAAGAATAAGCAACAAGTACTTATTAATTTTTATATCAACGTCCCATGTTTTCACATTTTCATGCTTTCAATTTGTCAAAATGTATGACACTACGCTGTCTAAACCACAGGTCCCGCCAAATTACGACTTTCTCTGCTTTCGATTTAAGCGGAAGTGAAACAATTAGTCAACTTGTACAATGTTTCATTTAACAAGAATACGATGTCATCGTAGTCTGCTGCTTCACAGTTGAATTGGGAATTTTCAGACAAAGAATTGGGAAAAATTAACATTTTTTGGCATTGAGAACAGTGCCATTTATCAGTACCAGTTATATAAGGAAAAAAAAACGCTGTCTGTACAAAAATGTGAACTACAGCTTAAAACTACTCATTAAAACTAAAAAAAAAAAAAACATCATCAGGTGTTAAAAACAGTTTTTACAATACACAGAAGATAATATAAATTCATTTGTCTGTTGGGAATAATGACTGGACATGCATCCAGTTAAAGATAAACTAACGAGTTTGGTGTGGGAAGTTGTTAAGGCATTTCTTATCAACCATGTGTTATCTCCTGGGAATTTGGCACAAGAATTAAAGATCTCTCTTCTCTTATTCTCTTAATTGTAATTTATTGTCTGTCAAAGCACTTCCTTACTGGATGACCAGCTCTTTATTTTCAAAATGAATTTGATATAAAGAATATCAAGATTAGTTTGATTTTGTATAATATGAATTTTTAGCTCACCTGAGCTGAAGGCTCAAGTGAGTTTTTCTGATCACATTTTGTCCGTCGTCTGTCTGTCTGTCTGTCTGTCCATCCGTCTGTAAACTTTTCACATTTTCGACTTCTTCTCAAAAACCACTGGGCCAATTTTGACCAAACTTGGTACAAACATCCTTGGGTGAAGATGAATTTGAATTTTTAAAATAAAGGGCCAAATCCCCTCACAAGGGGAGATAATCAAGAAAAGACAAAAATAGGATGGGGTCATTAAAAAATCTTCTTCTCAAGAACCACTGGGCCAGAAAAGTTGAAACTTATGTGGAAGCATCCTGGGGTAGTGTAGATTCTAAATTGTAAAAATCATGACCCCCGGGAGAAGGGCGGGGCCACAATGGGGAATCAAAGTTTTACATAGAAATATATAGGAAAAATCTTTGAAAATCTTCTCAAGAACTACTGGGCCAGAAAAGCTGAAACTTATGTGGAAGCATCCTGAGGTAGTGTAGATTCTTAATTGTTCAAATCATGACCCCCGGGGGAAGGGCGGGGCCACAATGGGGAATCAAAGTTTTACATAGAAATATATAGGAAAAATCTTTGAAAATCTTCTTCTCAAGAACCACTGGGCCAGAAAAGCTGAAACTTGCATGCACGTGGAAGGATCCTGGGGTAGTGTAGATTTCAAAATGTCTAAATTATGATCAGTTGGGTAGGGTGGGGATGCATTATGCATTACAAGGGGGAAATCTGGTAAAGAACAGAATAGTCAATATTTCACTGCAAATATTTGTAAGTGAATTGTGAACACCTCTAGATCCATAAAGTATTTGTGAATTGGCACCTTCTCTGAAAAACCCAACGGGGGGTATTTGTCCCTATTGGACAGTTCTAGTTTTTTCAACAATCAGTTTGCAGAGTGTCATGACACATAATTGCAATATATTTTTTTAATGCAGAAAAAAATGTTACAATGGAATAACAATGTATTAGTTTTGATGTTTCATTTGGTTGTACCTTTTTTTCATTCATTAAGAAACATAATGAGCAATTATATTTCACTGCAAAGTTTTGTAAGTAAATTGTGAACACCACCTCT